AATAAATTTTCTTTTTTTCAGTAACGGTACTAGTTTTATTTTGTTGTATTTATCCGCGACACCTTAAAGGCCGGTCCATGAAAATATTGTCGGGCATAAACCGGTCCGTGGCGCAAAAAAGGTTGGGGACCGCTGCTGTAATCCATAATCCATGCATCCATAAATTTTGTTAGTTTGTCTTTTACCCCAGTGCCAAATTGACAAAGAAGCACCGTCTACATACACAGTCCACACACTACACAATTTCAACTCACATTTCACTGCAACCTGGAAACAACAATCCTATTTCGGGACTTTGTAAGCAGCTAATCACTGCGTCTGCATTAAAGTCAGATGCTGAATAAATGAGCTTGCTGTCTTAGCAGATTCTGTTGCCTCACTACCTACAGTACAGACACAATAAGTGTTACACAATAAAACAAGTTAACCAAAAGAGAACTTTTTGGATGTGTGTGGCATTGAGATGTTCAGTTTCCCCAACAATCACTCTTTCCAGCCACATTAAATGAGTCAAAAACTTAGTAAGTCTAAGCTCCTACCCTGTATTGCACTGTGGTGTTTCCCCCCAGGGATCGCTAAACATGATGCATTTATTGTAAGTCATATGAAGTGATGTGTTGTCTTGTTGTGGCTTGATCTGTCCTGTACAGATAAACTCAGCCATTATGCGTTTATCCTTTCATTTCTGATGTATGAGCCCAGGTCGGAATCTGCTGAGTCTGCAGACCTTCTGACACCACAGTTAGCTGCAGATCATGAGGAGAGAGGCAGTCAAATGAGGCAGTCAAAAATAGATAAATAGATGATAGATGGATAGATTTAAATAACAGTTCTACTTGCTGTTGCTGTTCAAAGCACTTTATGTTTTGTTGCTTGTTGAAGCGCTTTGAAAAGTCAGAAAGAAGACTAAAGTAAATTATATATAAATACCACTCTACTTACAATTTACCCTTTAATATGATTCAAACTAAATGCAAATAAGATCTAACATTTAAGACTTATAGACATACCCCTTCTATCAGAAAATACAGATTTGTCTTATAAAGGCTAAC